TCTCTCTCTCTCTCTCTCTCTCTTGCTCACGGGAATGAAAATCAAGAAAGAGAGGAAGAGAAGCGAGTGTAAAGGGGCCGTGGTCGACGATTTCGATAAATCATCTCGAGAGCAGAGCGCGTTAACGTTGGGCTGGCACTTTAAAAGCGTCGCGCGTGTCGCAGCAGCGCGTACGGCGAGTTTTTTAAGAAGCGAGCACGCGAGCCGGCGGGGGCCGAGGGAAGGAGAGATGGAGTTTTAACTGGTGGAGCGAAGTCGAGGAGGAGGGGGGGGGGACGAGAGCGAGGGCTACGTTTTCGACGTACAAAAAGTAATTATGGGATGGTTTCCGGTAATCATATCTAGAGCGCATTGAACGAGCGCATTGTTCGGCCACCCCTTCGCCGATATGCACTTGTACGCGGCGCCAACCCCCTCGACTCTTCCTCTGGCCCCTTCCCCCTTCTCACTTCTTTCTCTCTCTCTCTCTCTCGTTCTCGGTTCAACCGTTCTCGCCCACCCACCGTCGCGTTTACCACAGGTTTGCCACACTTGGATACGTTGGACGCCATAGATAATCGATGCCGAGCACGTGGTGTCCGATTCCACGTTCCTTTCTTTCCTAGATTCATCGATATATACATATATATATATATGTGTGTGTGCTGTGTGTGTGTAATATTTTTCGAGATTTTACGTGTATTCTCTTTTTCTCTACCGATAAAATAAGAGAAGATGTACCTTATCTACATGTATGTAGGAAAGAGGGTCTGAAAGGGGTGTGGAAAGGGAGAAAAGAGGGCACCGAGGCGGAGGGAGGGAGGAGGAGCAGAGGGCAAAAAGCGGAAACGCGAGGAAGCGGAGACGGCGAGGTTCGGGTCCACGACCCGACTGACCCTGCGTCGACGGCCCGGCCGTCTTCGAGGCTGTCGGTCCACCCTACTCCTCGGCCACCCTTACCCTCACCCTTACCCTCGGGGGTGGATTGAAGCGGGCCGGCCCATTTTTCGCGCCCCACTTGACTCCTCGTCCCCATTGGTCGCCGCCCTCTTCTCGTCCCGTGACCTCTCATCCCCCGTCGTCCGAGTCGCGCGTATTACACACCGTCCCGTCCCTGCACCAACGCGTACAAAAGAAGTATCCAAGGAGACGAAGGCGAAGAAAATCCGCGAAGAAAGGATCCCGATATCGGCGGTGCTCGATCGTTCGCTCTCCCCGCGCGGCAGGAAAACACGGGGGAACGGACTTTGATTCTCTTCGAAACCGAGGAAACTGGAATTCGCGCGTCGTAAACGCGGTGATCGCAAGAGCGTGGCACGTCACGAGGCAACGTCGCAAAAACGGTTAACGGAAAAAGCGCTGAGACTGAGAGAGAGAGGGAGATGGACGGAATTTCGTTCGATGGAAAAAGTGCGAAAATCGCGTGTCAGGTAACATTGGGCGCGCGAGAAAATAAAAATAAAAAAGGAAAGGGAAAAAAGATAGGTCAGTGGATGGTGTCCCGGCCGGCCAGAGTCGCGAGACCGCGCGAGAGGGCAGGGGGTTGCGGTTCGCGGAAAGGAGGAGGAGACGACGAAAAGGAAGAAGAAGAAGAAGAAGAAGAAGAAGAAGAAGAGGAAAAGAAGGAGAAGGAGAAGGAGGAATAAGAAGAAGAAGAAGAGAAGAGAAGAGAGAAAGGCTTAGGCCGGCGTATATACGCGGAAGAACTCGGCGAAGAGGGACAGAGAAAGAGAGAGAAAGAGTGAGAGAGCGAGGGGTCGGAGGGCGCGAGGGTAGGGCAGACGCGGAGCCAATGAGAGGCGCGTCGGGGCGCGCCCGGGACTCGACCCCACCTTCGGTAGCCATGGTAACTGGCGAAACCCGCGAGAAAGCCGCGAGAGAGCCGGCGGTGGTGGGGGGCAGGTCGGTGTCAGGGGTCGTCTTAGTCGGCAGTCGGTCTCTGGTCGGCCCCAAGAATAGTCGTATCGAGGCGGTAGTCGAGTATCACCTCTCTTCTTCTCCTCCTCCTGCTGCTTGTGCCGGCACGAGCGCACTCGTCGTCGCAACCCACCGCGCGCACACAGGAGAACACGCGCGGCTTATCGACTGGGCTGTGCGCGCGCGCGCGCGCATTCCTCCTGTCTCTCTCTCTCTCACTCTCTCGCTCTCTTCTCTCTGTTTCTCCGCTCCCGGCCTTCCCTCTCGCCATCCTCCACGTCTCCCTCTTTCTCCGGTCCGCACTCCGCTCCACCGCACGCGGTACCTCGTGACTGGCCCTCCTCCTCCTCCTCCCGGTCCGCTCCTCCTCCACCTCCACCGCCTCCATCGCCACCTCCATCGCCACCTTTGCCTCCTTCTTTCGTCTTCCCTCTCGCACACACGCACACGTACGCGCCCTCCTCCCTCTCTCTCGCCCATCTCCAGCGTTACTCTCCACCCTGTGGTGTCGTCGTGCGTGCGGAGCGCACACCCTCTCCGCCCTGTGACTCGGTGGCTCGTGCCACCGCGCATCCACCCAGCGCCGATACACCGCGATACCGCGGATACCACGACGCGGGGATACGCGGCTGATCTACCGCGTGCGCGCGATCGCGATCTCGATCTCGATCCCGATTCAGATCCCGATTTCGTCCGTGGTTCGAAGGCTCCGCTCAGTGTCACCGGTTATTTTTGTTATTTCGTGTGTGTGTGTGTGCGCGTGTCCTACGACCCGCCTTCTCACGTTTTTTCTTTTTTCTTTTTTCTTTTTGTTCTCTCTCTCTCTCTCTCTCTCTCATCTTCCTTTCCTTCGTTTTTCCTCGTTTCTCGCGGAGCATATACGCACGGAGAGTATACCACGTTCCGAACAAGGTGCGAAGTGTGCGCGATCGGTCGTCGGTGGTGAATTCATCTAACCATCCATCTACTCGTCTATCCATCCATCCATCCATCCATCCATCCGCTTCTCTGTGTCTCGTCGTCGACGAGCAAACGCCCGACTCTCCCGAAGCTCGGAGGCTTCGGTCGCCGAGGAAGGCGAACGAACGGGGAACCCCGCCGCCCGACCGAGATGTCGCGCACGGGACAAGGATCCCAGAGGTCGCGCGAACTCTGCCTAGTGCGCGAGTGAGTGAGGAAGAAAAGAGTGCGTGAGAGAGTTTGTCTCGGCCGAAGGCGAGCGGCGATTTCGATCGCTGCCCTGAAATTTGTCTTTAAGGTGGTGCGCGAGACACGCGAAACTCCGTTGGAAGAGTTGGGACAACGGGGCAAAGGGAACGAGGAGAAAATACACGTAAACGAGTTTTGTGCGATCCATCGTTCGATCACTTTGTGCGTGCCGCGATCCATCCACATCCGTCTGTATCCGTCTACATCGGAACGAGCCAAGGAACGGACGAAGAGACGAAGAGAAAAGGGGATTCCTGATCGAACGAGGGAGAAGGAAGGAAGAAGGAGGAAGCGGTTCGAGGGGTGGTCCTCGCGGAAGAAGAGGAAACCGGCAGGGTGGTTCGAGGCGGGACAGGAGGCGCTGACGCCCTGGCGACTGCCGGGGTGGTTTACCCGGCCGCGACAGCGACGTTGTTCCCTGGCCGGGTGTCAGCCGGACACCACCACCCCGAGTTCACCACCACGTTGGAGGTGGGGTTCCCGGCGCGCGGCACCACCGCCTCCATGGCGTTGGTGGCCGCGCCGCCC